TTACAACGATGGTGTAGTAATCCAATGTGTCTGTGTCCCCTTTGAAATGTTCTGATAATCCATAAGCAATAAAACTGCTTTTCCGTTTCCAGATATCAGAGCTCTGCAGCAAGATTGAATGTGCAGAGACCCCAGGTTTTTTTTAACATGACAGTCTATGGGACAATTTCCCTTTGATTCTATTGGCTCTAAAGGTCAGGAAGATATGTCACATGTCAAAATCCAGCAGGGGGAGCCAGAGATATGAAAAATCCACCCAAATGGCCCCAGAAGAGTTTTTTTTTGCTAAATCTGTCTAAAAAGGTCAAATATCACTTGTTTTGCATCAATCTTGATACAGGGTACTTATTATATGTTGTACTTTGGATTCCTAAAGCTTTTAGTCTACTAAACCATCATCCAAGGTTAGTTTTCACTATAAGTACAAAATATTTACAGTTTTTTACCATGTTCAATCAGAATTTTCTTTAAAATAAAAAACATCTATATTGAATCTGACTTCTCTACATCCAACTGACAGGTTTATCATTACTTTGAGAAAAAAGATTATTAATTTAACCCTTTTAGAAGGGAAGATATGGTCATTTGTTCTGGGAATGTCATTTTCGAGCCTGAAACCTGAAAAACAGGCTCGGGGTTTAACAGGTTAAAAGTTGAAATTGCGTATGGTTATCAACGTTTCAATATAGAATTGTTGTATGCATGTTCAAATTATATTCATATACAGCATTATTGGTTTAGTGTATCTCAGTACTAGCATATAAGACATACTGTAGGAGCATCACACAAAGTATTGGTGTATAGTATGATTTTGTACTAAATATTTCCCCATTTACATAGATAAAAACGGTTAACAAAAAAGTTCATTTTCTAATTGCATGACTTTTGTAAAATATCTGGTGTTTGGCCTTTTCCCCCCTTCATATGCAGACCCACCTTTTTATTTATATTAACTCAGACACGTCCTCTATCTGTGGCCAGGGCCACCACAGTGCGGATGCATCCTGATAGATCCCCCATTACCCCGGGTGTGACCCCTCACAGCTCAGTTCATTAAGCCAGCCACCCAAGTGGTCGGGACTCAAGTCCAGATTTAATCACAACTTCCATCCTCTTGCCAATCACAATTAGATCCTGATAAGCCTCTGCAGGACGGCACCCGAGGGCCTCCACACACGGACAAAGGTTAATTTGCGAGCAGCAAGGGCCCGGCTACGAGAACGAAGGTCACCTGATTGAAAACATCGAGCATGTGTGTGTAAGATGGGGGGGGCCTTGGCGGCGATTACAAAGTTCATCAGTATTCATGTGTTTCATTCATGGCTAATGGGCACTTTACCTTCAAAGAGGGGTGCTGATAGGACGTGGCCCTTAATGAGAAATAGCTTTTGGTAAGTCTTTAGGTAGGTGAAAAAAGTAATTTCCCATTGTCTTTTAAAGTCCCTTCACCCAGTCTCATCTGTAAGCTTCTCATTACCCCAGCAGTGGCCCCTCTGTTCTGGGGTCTGTTCGACCCTTAAGAACGTACCTCTATTCTGACATTGATGTGAACATATCAAGACAGTATCTTCAAAACCTCTCCATTGTGATTAAGGTCAGATAAAGTATTTCTTTAAAGAGGCCCTATTATGCTTTTTGGGCTTTTCCCTTTCACATAGTGTGTTATATCGGTTTATTTGCATTTAAATGGTCTGCAAAGGCTAACACCAAAGTTCTCTCAGGATGAAGTTTCTCTCTGACATATCCCCCCCCCCCTCTCCTGCCTGAAATACCTCGCTTGTAGTGCTTTGTTTTTTTCTTACATAGTGACATTACTATGTAACACTTGCACTTCTATTGGATAGCGCTCCAACACATAGTACGTGATAGGGTACGGTGAGGGACATCTCTAAGTGGTTGACCAATCAGAACAGAGGCGGCCAACTCTGCTTGTACGTGGTCACAGCTATTGTTAATTTGAGCTTATTTTTTTGTTTGGGATCACATTTTGTACCTTCCTTGTATACTATCAGTTAATTAAAGTGAGAACATTTTACTTGTGAAAAAGGAAATATCATAAATCTACCCCTGGAAAAGAAAAAGTTGAATTAATTAGCAGTGAAACACACCCTTTCTCAATTCAATACACCACAAATGTTCTCTAACTTGATCAGTATCTTATGGTGGCTAATGCTAGCAAATTAGCTTGTTCTAAATGTTAACTAGCTAGCCCAAGTAATTAAACCACTTACTCAAGGGAAGCTTGGGAATTTAAATGAAAGTAGGAATATCATTATTCTGTTAATATGGCAAAAATGACCGTTGTACAGCAAAACGTACAAGCCCTCACTTTAAACGGACCAGAGTCAATTCCCTAGCCTGTGTTAACATCTTGTACAGTATTTAAATACAGTGACAGTGTCCCCAGTGAACCCCACTCATTTGAATGTGGTTACTTTTGTCTCGTGCCAATGTAAGCATTCATAGGATTCCCAAAAACAGAGAGCACTGAACCTGTGACAGAACACGCATTTAACAGGAGAAACAGACTAGTTTTATGTTCCCCTGTTTATGATTTCATCCCTCTGACCTCACATACTATGGTGCAATGTGTTTTCCAGGCCAGCTGGCAGCGGGGACGTGTGAGATTGTGACGCTGGACCGGGACAGCAGCCAACCACGGCGGACCATCGCCAGGCAGACGGCCCGCTGCGCCTGTAAGAAGGGCCAGATCGCCGGGACTACAAGAGCCAGACCCGCCTGTGTGGACGGTAAGAGGAGGAGGGGAAGGGAGCCCAGCTTAGCTTAGCTTAGTTTAGTTAGTGGCCACTTCAGTGAATTATACTCAAACATGAGTAGGTTTTTTCAGGAGGTGTGTTCATCCTTTATGTTGGATTATGTCCGTGTTGAAGTACATGAAGAGAATTAAGTGTAAAATTCAGCCACAGCAATGCGTTGAATCACAGCGTCAGGGCAGCTAAGGGGTTGATGTTCTTAAGAAGAAGCTTAAGGTGGATAAACCTACGATACGGAGCAGAGAAGATCACAGGCGAAGGATGTGTTTATGATGTTAGTAAAGCCTGCAGCTAATCTATTTACAGTTGAATCATTTTCAAAAAGCTTGGCTGCAGGGGGGGTTTCTGAATCTGCCGCCAACAGATGGGATCATGTCACAAATACCTGAATTTATTTATTTACTCCCATTCATATTCTTTTGGTGTTTTTTGTATTCTTATTCTTTCTTATTATTATTTCAGGATCCAAGAAAAACAACCTTGTTTTCAACAGTGATAACGTTATTTTCTGATAAGGTAACAGGTGTTTACATGTGGCTTTAAGTAAGTAAAGTAACACTTACTTAAAATCACCAAATTTAGATATGAATAGTTTTCACAGGTCAGCGAAGACGAGAGGCTTCACAGATAATAATAATAATAACAAGATTGAGCTTTGTGTATAGATGAAGAATAGCCTTCCTAAGATATTTATCTAATGTTGAAGGAGATTTTTCTTTCCTTCAAAACATTTCTGTAGTCATTTCAAGAACCCTCAGACCTCTCTTTGTGACATCTTCATTGACTCTAAGGGTGCCTGTCACTGACTCTGTGTCACATGATGTGGCCTCTAACCCGGGGGGGGTTGATGTGCACAGGTGACGGCAGAAAAAACAGCTCTGTTAGTTTGGAATAACCTGCAGCGAACTGTACCTTTGGATGTCTTGTTTTCCTCGCGATTCAACCGCGCCTTCACAGTTTTGTCTCCGATTGGACGAGCTGCCTATCCTCAGCGCGGTTTGACTGACTCTACCTGCTGATCGCATGAGGAATGGCTTTGTGTAAGTGGAACAAGGCTTAATACAAGTACATATACTGCAGGCACAGCTGAATGTGACATTGGAGACTGTCTTCAAATTCAATTTCTTTCTTTAGCCAAACCGCTTCCCGCTGAGATTTGTGCGCTCTGCCTGAGCCCGAACAAAGAACAATCTGATCTGGAAGACATGACCACATGCTCTCTGCACTGCAGAGTCAATCTGCTGTCCTTAAGTGTGCCTTTCCCGCCAGTAAATAAGTTGAATGCTGCATAAACCCTACGGTATCCAGATGATATCAGGAGGTATTTTTCACAACGTGGCCTCCGTGGAGTACCGTGGCATTTTGTGTGGGCTTGATACTCTTTCTGTGAAGAGAGCTTTCGCTTATCTTCTGACTTTTTAGAGTCCCGCGCAGGTGGATGCCAGTTGTGCACAGCGAAAAAGAAAAAGAACCTGAAAATTAAACTCATAAAGGTGATTTTTCCAAAACAAATATGTATAAATGGAGAGTTTAGTCGATAAAATGTGCTTTCATGAACTTAGGGCAGGGCAGGTTTATTTGTGCACATTTCACACACAAAAGCAATTCCAGATGCTTGACATAATGCATTATAAATAAGGAAATGAAGCATAAAACATTAAGATGCAAATTAAACCATCTCAAAGAAATTGAAGAGATAAAACAGAGGACTAGATAATAAACGGGTCATAATCATAATGTTAATTTGGACTCTGGGAAGAGTTAGCATGCTGCTACCAGATGACCTCAGAGGCCCAGGAGGGCTTTATGCTAATATACAGATATGTGTTTTGGTCCTATCAGTTAAACTCTGTTTAATTTATTCCTTATCCAAAAAAAATGATGATAATAAAATTCACGAGCTATAAATCTCATATACATGTTTATTTTATTTTATTTTAAAATTCTCATTAATTATAAAATGGTGGTCATTTGCTCTGCAGCCTTCATCAGGGAGGCAGTGGGATTGAATTTCGACCTGTGTGAGTCTGCTGTGCCTCTTATTACTCCCACAGCTCCAATACAAACACGTCGATTGAAGGCTTTACAGTAGGTCACTCAAAGGTGGGAATTTAATAAGGGTCGTTAATTGTCATGGTGTGCAGTGTACAGCCTGTTCTGGGCAGTAGGATTCACAGAATACTGGACAAAAAGTACCATTTTAAAAAGGAATATGCACCCAATCACGTCACAATCGGTGGTGACATTCATGCCGCTGGGGGACATGTGTTCCCTGACTCGAGCTTCCTTCCAGGCAGTGTACCACCCTGGGAGAGGAGAAGATCTGTCTTCAGGGAACAAAAGTCTCTTCTCTCGCTGTTCTTCCATACCCAGCATGCTTTGTGAGGGGTGTGAAATGGATGCATAGAGAGTAAAAGGTAGCTAGCTTAAGATTTGAGTATCTACTTCAGTACAACTCTGACATACTTGTAATTTAATATTTAGATGTTCTGCTACTTTAACTTTCGTGCTTACCTTTATTAAAAAATGTTTGGGGCTTTTTAAAAAATGCAATTAAATATTAAATTACCATTTAATTGCTTCTCTATCATTTATATAAACACATGTGTATACTACATTATACATACACGTATAATGCATTATAACCTGCCTATAGAATTTAAAACTATAGTTACAAGCTTTCTAACAAAAATCACACAAAATAAATAAAACATTTTTTTATCTTTATTTGAATTGTTTTACCTAAAATAAAGCAAAGAAAGATCATTTATAGTAACTTATAACCAGGTATCATAATTGCAGGAGAAAACACAATTCACAACAACGATGTTTATTGTAATATACTATGGTTCTTGCAATACAAGATGGCACTTGCTTCTTGGCCTTAAGAATCATGATCAATTTTGTGAAGCATTATGAATCGTTAAGAGTGATTATAACTATTATGACACCGTGTTATAAGCAGATTCTGATGCATTATGCTTTGCATGGGCGTCATATCAAGTGTTACAAAACAAACCATAACCATGCCTGCAGCTTTACTGCTGTTCATATTACACTGCCCACAGCTTGATATTATTGCCATGCAAATGTGAGATGCTTGTCTCCGCAAATGCAATCTTATTTGTTTATTCAGACTCTTGACTCGGCTCACTTAAGGGACACGGAAATCGAGCGAGAGCAGGAGAGAAAGCTGACATTAAAGACCCCAAACGCCACAAATGGGATTTCAATCTGTTTTAATCTACCCGAGTCCTTGAGGTCTGCTCTCAGTTGTAATGTGCCTTTGCCTCGGCCGCCTCAACGCGTGTCCTTCATGCTTCAGACTCTGCATCTGTGCATGTGGGATAATCCATAGCTCAATCAGCGCGCTCACCTGGCGTCCGGGACAGCGTGTGGTAATGAAAACAGAGGGCTCCTGAAGTCTTCCTCTTTGTTGTTGTGCATTTCCCCCATCTTGCTCTACGTGTGTTTATTGCTTTGAGGAGGTGAAAAGATGAGATGGGAGATAAGCCGTTGACATGATAAGCTTTTTGTAGCTGCGCCTTTTGATGTCCATAAGGAGAGTAGCTTGAAGAAAAAGACAACAAAAGCTTCACAAATCTCTGCAGCATGAAATGTGTTTCTCTCTTTGGCCCTTTCCCTTTTTCCATTTCTATTCTTTCCGGCACCATTATAGCTTTGTTTCTGCCTCTCTACTGTATGTCTTCAATGGCTCTGCCCATTTGAAGCCTATATCGCAGCCTAGTGTTGCTGAAGTACAGCCTCTCTCATCTGCAATTTCATGCTCTTGAGCCTTTTTACCTCTGTGCATGATGACTTTTAAGAGAGCCGATATTGATTCTTATTAGGAGGGTGAGAGACCGAAAGAGGCCATTAGCGAGAGACGGAAAGTAACACACTCGCGCCGGCTGCTGGAAAGAGTGACAGAGCTGCAGAAAGGGGCCGCATTCACATCCAGAGAGGTGGAGGAGCCTGCTGAGGGTCACTGGTCAAATCTCAGCGGGAGTCAGCACCTTAGGTTAATGTTTGTGTTTATGTTTATTAAGGATCCCCATTAGCTTTTGCTCTTGACAAAAGCTACTCTTCCTGGGGTCCGACACTTAAAACAATACAACAACATTCAACATTAGGGGAAGGCTGGGTTTGGTCTTCTATTGTTGGGATGCTTACATGATGAAAGCCTCAAGGGGACCAGTTGTGCGAGACTTAAGTCTGCTGGTAATAGTAATACCGAAAAAACATGTGTACAAGGAAAGATGCACTCAGAGATCGGTTGAACAGCTGATATTTCTTTCCCCCCTCCATTTTAAAGGGAAATATTGTACGTTTTAATACACATACATTTTTTTGTAGTTTCTATCCACTTTGAGAATGTAAGTGAGACATTCCCTTATTTCATTGATCTCCCACTAACTCCCGAGGGAAAGTCTTGAGCTGCTAAATGCTTCGTTTTGTTCATTAGCTTGTTGCTAACGGTGTATTTCTTCTGTTTTGTCGGCCTTTGTCACCCATTTTTTTATGAAAATGTTGCTATTGGAGTGGTGGTAGTGAACGAAAACAGGAAATCTGTGTGCTGAAAAACCAAAACAAGTAGCTGGAAGATCCTAAAACAAATCGATTTAACCATCATCCCTCTCTCATTGATTTCCCATTGTCATTAGATTAGACACATGAAAAAAGTATCAATTAAAGTAGTTGTAATGCCTTTTCCTTTACATTTAATCTGATGCCTTAGGTACATCTTTCTGACTATACTTTCGTAACCTTTTGAACGCAGGACTTTGGCTTATAGTGGAGTATTGCTACCTAAGTAAAGGATCCCCCATTATCATATCTGTGAAGCTACATTCCAAGCAGATCAAAATGACTCTTGTCCTGCTGGATGCTCATCCCTGGGTAGCCTGCACATGAGGAATTGCGTGTCAAGCAGTGAAAGAGACAACAGCATGCGTCAGGCTCAGTCTCTGGGCTATTAGACGGTACCAGAGCTCAAATCATACTGCATCAGCCCACTGGTTCGATTTGATCCAGGGAGGAGAGGAGAAGGCCGCACGGTCTGTTGGGGAAACATGTCATGTCAGCTCCGGCAGCCAGTTAGCAACCAGAGGGACTGGGCTGAAGAAGATGGTCCTGTGGTGAATCTGTAATGTCGCTCCTTCTCTCTATTTTCTGTTTCATACATATGCGACACAGACTGAAGACTGGTGACCCTGAGCCTTGTCAAAGGGAGAGAGGCAGGACAGGGCAGGCAGATGGGGACCGCAGCCTGGGGGGGAGAGGGGTTGCTTAGCCTTGGGAGTGTGGGATTGGAGACTGGAGCTCTTTTTATACACAAATCACACCCAGGAAACGACCGTGTCTATTTTGCATGCTGTCTTTTCTTATTGGACTTGGCGCTGTTGACAGAATAAAATTGTTTCCACTCCAGAAATCTCCAATTGAGAATTCACTATCGCTTAAATATCCACCATGGCATAATAATAGACCTTTCAGCTGCAGTTGGATTTAT